TGTTACCGAGAGACGTGTAATCCGGTGGTTGCTAAGAAAATTCAGAGTAAGTTGAGACAGAAAACACATCATTGAGAAAATATTTTCTTAAGTCCTTATTTTGACACATTGGTATTTTATTTCTTTTTCAGACAGAAGAAAACACAGATGATAGTGAAGGTTTGTTTCCTTTAAAGTATATTAACGCAATGGTTTTCTTAGTACAGGGGGTCCTCAACTTACGTCGGAATTCCCTTACTATGGTGAGACGTAACTCGATTTTCGCCGTAAATCGGAAATACTGTACATAAGTCATTGTCACAATTATTTTCTGTCATGCCTCCCTTGTGGACAGAAATGTTTTCACTCCCCATCCTCGGACCCACATCCCCACAAATTGAAATACTATTGAGAACCTGATAACATGTATATTTTTATCTGTACAAACCACTGTATGAGTTGCTGCCACCTAGTGACTGGAGGATTGTTATCATTCAAGCATTACAGCAGTGGTACACTTATGTCCAGGATGCCATTTTTCATTGGAAGACCCTCACGACCCCCCGGCACCTCATCGCGGTTCCCCCAGGGGGGCCCGCCCCGCTATTTGAAAAGTACTGCCATAGGTTGAGGATTCTGTAAAAACCGAGGACCTCCTGTATTTCAATGATTTGGCCTAAATACATCTACTACTACTGAAGCAGAAACCTCGATGTTCAACCATTCCTTTGACTTGGTTCTCTGTTCTTGTTTTACAGAGCAAGTGGATTCTAACCATCATGTGAAAAACATCCCTAATTCATTATTGGTGTTCAAGTAAAAACTACGTTTTTGTGCTTTTATTGGTGCTGAGAAACGCACATTAATGTCCTAGACACAGGTGGTCGTATTTTTTTTTAGAGGACTGGCACTGTGGGCTCCACACTTCACCAAGACAAGACAGGTCAAAATCAGTAATCTTTGTCATGACTGATGGCTGATTTTTAAGTACGATGAGTGTATGCCAATGTCCATGTTAAGCACTACACTACGGCGCATCAGAGAATAACATACAGTACCTCACTTCCATGTTAATACTGACATATTTTGAGGGTTGTTTTTTTTTTTTTTTCTTTCTCATTTTTGAAGCTCCTGTTTGAGCTGCATGTTTGACCCTCAGGGAACTCACTGTAAAGTCCCCAGATCTACGGAAATCTTTACAAATATGATGGTGTTTTTTTTTTTTGTTTTTTTTTCTCTCACCTGAGGAATTCATCTCTTTGTTCTGATTGGTTCACAGTATTTTATGTATATATATATAAATATATATCTTATCATCTCCATCTTGGCAGGCGTCAGTGTCGCTACTCTGTAAATAGTGTTTATAGACTATTTTGTAGGTGAATATTTTAATAATAAAATGTTAAAATCGACACCTTGTGCTGTAATGTTTTTTGGAAGAATCAGAGGAAGCGATATTCTGTATCACTGCAGAATTTACTGATATACAAGTTACCACAGAATTCACTAAATAAGTACACACCGATATATACTGCAGGATTTAACAGTAACGTATATCACCAGTGCTTTTATTTTGTTGTTGTTTGTTTCAAACACAATAATTAAATAATTCAAAGGCAATTTAAAATATGGGCAAAGCCATACTGAATACAGACAATAGATCAAATTAAAACAAACAATAGACTTTTAAATTGACGATCTTTAATAATGCAAAAACATAAATACATGGATAAATAAATATGCAAATACTACTTCAAGTCCCAAAGGGATAAGTTACATGCCTGGTAAGTTTTATTTTTATTATTTGTGTTGCTGGAAAGTGCATTGCACAGCATAAAGCCAAGAAGAAGCAAAAAAGAAAAAGAAAAAAGACCACCTATGCTTTTATTTAAAAATGAGAGACAGCTTGATGGAGCCTAAAATGAACATTTGACATGTCTGAGCATTACAAATAAAAAATTTCGTGGCACCTATAAAATTATTTTTCGAAGCTGAAAGTCAGTCATCTTATTTCGTGGCACCTATAAAATTATTTTTATCGCTGACATCGGGCAGTGCATTATTGGGTCTTCCTGTCGAAGCTGAAAGTCAGTCATCTTTGAAACAATAACTTTTTACAGTGGTTGGTATAAATAAGATATAAACCCATGTTAATTAATGAAAATGTAAGGTATTCTAATTCTTGTCCTCCTGAAATTGAGATTATAAATAGACTTTTTTAGTCAGAATTAAATCAACATAAGCACTTTAACATTTTTCTCGAATTGCTCATGCAATTACGTTTTGCGTTGCCTTTGGGCACCCTCGGAAAATATCCAATTTAGTATTTTGTGTAGCTTGGTTTTCACAAAATAGTAAAAACTAAGAAGCTACACTTAGTTATCGAAATATTTCAATACAGTATTGTTGAAAATTATTATTTAGAAGGAAAATACAGTTTTAATAAAAACTTGAATTGTGTATAGATGTACTGCAGATATTAATATAAACAACAAATAGATATAAAAAAGTGATTATTCCTCTGTAGAGATATACAAATATATAGTTGAATTCATTTTTTGGGTCTACAGTAGAGAAGAAGAAAAAATCGGTCGTCGCAGAGTCCCCTTTATATCAAATTCCCACCTCTTGGATTTATTGTGAAAGTCATATGTACTGGGTTGTAATGTGTATGCCTCTCCTTTCTTTCTACAACTAATCCCTATGGCCACACCTAGTTTTATTTGAACAAATTAGATGCTTCTAGAACGTGTCATCTTTCTTCAGGTTGCAAAGCTGTTGTCAGTTATTTAATTATTAATATATTTTATATGCTCATTAACTTATTTCTTACTGGTAACGAGTTTTTAGATAAAAGTTTCCAACACAATTCAGAACAATCTTTGCGACAAAATCATTAGTTATGATGTGTTTTTATTCACACAATTTAAACACAATTTAAGTAATGAGCCCCCAATACTTACAAGTAAGCTTAGTCAACTAATATAGTCACAAAAGTGTGAAGATAATTTATTACGTCTTAAAGTATACGATTTTTAATTGGAGTTATCTTAATTGCATTAGTTATAATACAGATTAGGAAACACCAGAGTGGATCATGCAATCGAGGAAAACGAGAACGTGTCCTTGAACGCAGCACCAGTGCTCCAGTCTGGAGCAGTATTGGCCCCGCCCCCTTGAGCTCCGAGTGAAAATTGAGATAGTGAGGAAAAGCAGCGGGACGAGAGATTATGGAGGAAGAGAGCTGGATGTTTTAGCTACTTTACCATTCAAGGAAACACTATTTGTTTGGACGTATTTCACTTTAGCTCACTTCAAAACCCATCTATGTTGCTTTAACTGGTGTGTATTTTATGGGCTCAGGAATACGTGGTAAATCTGGCACTGAACGTCTGTGTGACCGCAGACGGATAGCACGACCCGAGCAAAAGTTAGCCCGGCTAACTTAGCCTACATCGGATAGTACCAAACAACCATAACGGACGACTTATTACAAGACTTTATGCTTTAAGCGGCGGTACAATAACTCGTAATGTTGCCTCCTGGAATTTACTTTAGATACGGATGAAAAAACTGTTGAGGCGTCGTGGAAGAGTGAGAACAACTGCCAGCCCAGAGCAGCCCTGCTATGTTGGGCTTGAGCCGAGGCTCTTGCAGCCCGTCGGTGTCCCGAGTTTGGCAAAACTGGTTGTCGTGGAAGTTAGAGGACTTTTTCATCCTCCTGCTGTTCCTGCTGGAGGGGGCTGGGTGCCTGGCCAGCCCTGCCAGCCCGAGCAGCACCACAGGCGTCAACGGCAACAACCGCCCTGGTATCAACGTTTATATGAATGTGGAGGAAGTGAAGAAGCTCCTTGGTAAGAAACTATGGGAATTGGGGAGGGGGTGTTTTGAAAGACGTCAGCCAACTAACATTTTTAATAATTGATTGACCAAGTTACTTTTCCATATTTGACGAACATTTCATTTTATAAAACGTCAAAAAAAAAAATTAGTTACTTTTCCATATTTGACGAACATTTGTTTTATAAAATGTCAAAAAAATAAAACACGTCACAGTCACTATGACCTCTAATGATTAGTTTTGACTAATATTAGGTTCAGTTTTCATGTTGTAGAAAAGTACAAGTATAACAACATAATTTTATAAGCTTTAACAACAGATTTAAAACAATTATTTATTCCTAAAACGTATAGTTATATTTTATTAATGTAGGAGTTCATTTGTAATCGATTAATCAAATAGCTGCTGGGGCTCTAGGTTGTTGTGATACAAACTAACTAAGGTCAGTTTTATCCTTGTTTGTGTATTTGCACAGAACTCAGGTGTACCTGTTTATAGAGGTAAAGGGTGCCTTCTATCTTTCTAAACAGAGAAACAGGTGTATTAAAGCAGAATGCTATTAGATATACAGCATCTCCCATAACTATCAGTTTTGGTGAGTGCCATGCTAACCATGGACATGTCCAAATGAAAATGAGGTTGTTGTTGTTCCATTGACAACAACTTTATTGAAGACCCTCACTGTTGTTAGTCTGCTTAGGTCATGTCGTCAACATTTGCATGTCAATTTAAACAGTCGAGAGCTATGTCACTACCACCGAGAAAGACAAAGAGGTACAAAAAAATTTGTTATACAATGGGACCATTTACAACATTAAAACATTGAGGACTTACAGAGACACTAAATTGCAGAAAAATGATGTTGCTTCCTGGCTGATGATGCCACTGCGTCAGCTCTTTTTTAGCACACTGCTGGTGAGAGCAGTTTCTGCAGCAGAAGGTCATGGATGCTGTGTACAATAACGGCTTTTTATAGGACATTTGCGTCATTGTCCATGTTAAAAGTAAACAAGTGGACCTAAATGCACTTTGAGTTATTTCCTCACAAATGTAAACTGAAAAGGTAACTGGGATTTACTCAGACAATATTTGTGCTACAGCATACTTTGATGGTTTGATTCCAGATGTATGACGACTCCAGCCCTGATGGAAAAACTGTCAATATCACTGAGCAGATTACCTGCACAAGTTGCAACCACCCATGAAAGGTGGTGCCAGGGTGAAACCTGATCGAAGTGCGACTATAATAAAAATGGGACCTGTATATTTATCATACTTAAACAAACTCATTTAAAAACAGTTGTAGGTTATTGTTTGCTAATAATTTTTTTTGCAGCATTTCAATAGATACACACATAAAATATACAATGTTTACTGCACAGCACAAGATGTCCTTACTATGCCCTTTGTGTGGTGAGACTTTACTAATAATTGACTGATGAAAAAGGAGTAGCCTGGAGGATTAATAAAAAGAGATGAGGTCATGTTGTTGTGCACATGCTCTGAGGTCCATGATGAAAAACATCATTTGAAAAAAGTCAGTGTTATTGCTCCAGAATGGAAATTCGTCTTTTGTTGCTAAAAAGTGTGTTACCTCATGATGAAGATTCTGTAACGGGTAACTATTTAACATATAACAGTATTTAATTTAATGACCCTTATCCTCCATTTGTCTTAAGAACAGGTTTTGCCCCATACTGTGTTGAAACATGTTTGTCTCCAGTTGTTACATTTTATTTAACAATGTTTAAAAATGTTTATGTCAAGCTGTGTTGTGTTTTATTTTTGATACCAACAATGGTATCGCGTCAATATTGAGTTTTGGCTGATACACAAAGCCCAGGTATAAGTATGAGGACTGAGAAAGTCGCATTATTGCAACCTTTAAGAACACAAGGATTAAGACTCTTTCAGTTCCAGTCTCTTCTATAGTAATTACATCCATCATAACAACCAGAAGTGTTATCACTGTCTCTTAAAATATGTGTCTCCATAACCAGGAATTGACCCGTCTATACATTTAGAAACCACATGGAATTCCTAGAAAAAACTGACAACACTCAACTGCTGTAAAGATGCTAATTTGGGGTTTACCAAAGATTTGTTGAGGGTGCAGTTATGAACACCAGTCATTTACTATGTGACGATCTTGCCAAAAACGAAAGTGCAGAGATGCTAATGCGCCGAGTCTTTGTAAGGGGAAGAAACCCTTTCCAGACCCTCATCTCAGAGCAGATAGTCAGCAAACGCCATCAATATTTGCCTGTTAATTGGTAATAAGACAAAAGATATAGTGAAAAATCAGTCTGGAAGCAAATCCAGCTTTTTTTATAGTTATAGTTAGTATTTATGGAACTGATTATCAATTAAAAAATAATTCATCGTTTTTTGTACTCATGGCGTGGTGTCAGTCTAGGTCCAGTTGTCCCGGGACGTCTGTCTTTCACAACCATCCTTCCTGATGGTTCTGATGCATGATGGGAGGATGTGTATGAGTAGAGATTCAGAGGTAGTGATCAAACCATTATGTCTTCTGCTTGTTCTGGAAATTCTTTGAGCAACAGTCAGACTTTCCTACAGCCATAAAAGATCTTGGTGGAAAGAGAATTCATCACCAAAGTCAATGTGACTTTGTATAGGTCTGTCTGAGTAGTGCCATACTAATGTGTTGTTATCAGAGCTACAGGCAGCGTTTCTTCACCCTGAGTGGGTTTGTGGTGCGGACCGTGTATGTTGCGTTGCATTTTATCTGGAAAAAGCATTAGCGCTGTCAAGGCCTTCATAGGCAACCATCAGAAAAACGTGTTTGTCTGTGGTAGTTTTTATCAGCATGTACATCAAAGTGTTTAATACAATGATACATGCATAATACAAGTGTGTTTTTGACTGGTGGTGTCAGTTGTATTAGTCACTCTGCTGTGAGAAACATTTCAGTTACCCCTCTCTCTCTTCTGGTAATAAATTGTAGTTCAGTCTGTTTCTTTTTTTCCTCGGGTTTTCCATCCTTCTGTAGTTAATCATTTAGTCATATGGAGAATTCTCTTTATGTTTGACAACTGTGTTTGGAACCAAAAGCTTGTATGTGTCATAAACCACCACGCTGTCCTACTAGGGCTGTTTAAAGGAGGAGAAAATAGGCTCCAAAGTGTGTAATAGCTCCTGCAGAATCTCAGTACAGATTCATGATTTTTTTTCCACTCGTCCTCATAACATGGCAAATTAATTTGATTAGAGAAAAAAATGGAATTTAACCTGTTTTGACCAGTTAGAGATAGACATAAAAGCAGTGAGGCCTAGTGATGCAGTTCATAAACTGTGGCTTAGCAGGTGTGTAGAATTCGTTTGTAAGCATGTGATCATTGTGCAAAAATAAAAATGTAACAGAAAAAAGATAACGTAAACTAAATGTAAATGTTTTTACAGGTATTATAAGATTGAAACCTGTAAACAAAATATGTCATTAGTTTATATATCGTGTGTCTTCCATTTCCGTCACATCTAATAATCCCAAAGTTTAAACATAGAGGACGGAAGTTTTGAATATCAGGCACAGACTAAACATGGCAGCATGTGAAGGCAGCATGTGTTCCAAATATGTGAACCCTGTGTCTTGTGCCAGTGAGTCACCATTCCCGAGTAACAGTGGGGAAACCTAATAATAATATTACCCTGTTAATCTGCTTTCATTCAAAATAAAAGAAAAGATTATTGACTTTTTTTGTCACTAATGTCTGTAAACCTGCAGCGGCAAAATAGTGTAGTCTGTAGTCTGTAATATATTTTACATATACTTCAATGTCATGTTGGCTATGCCAATTTCTATATATAAATATGGATCATGTTTTGAGCAGTACATATATATAGAGTATGTGGCATTTTTCAGAATTGAACGGGAACAGTAGTTAAGTACTTACCTCTGACTGTATAAACCTTGATGATATGTCAGCTGATATAACATTTTGGGAAATTAAAGGTGTATTGGTCTATTTAAATCTTTGTAAATGTTTAATTTGTGTTTTATTATATTGTTCGTATAAAACGCATCAAACGCACATGATTTTTAATTCCGTCATCTCAGTGGCACCTGTGCGATTTTAAGCTCTGCAGCAGCTTCCAGCTTCACTGAAAAATTCAAAATATTAATTTTACTCCAGTTCTGCTACATCCTGATATTTTTTTCAATCAGTTATTATTATTATTTACATTGGAAATTATCTTTAAAATCTCTGATTCTTTCAAGTGGGGAGCTTCATATCAAGTGTCTTAATCTCCTCTTACTGTAAGAGATAAACGGTCTCTGTTAAAAAGTTCTGACCACAGAGGGGTAGGAAATGTATTTAGCCATAAATCATCAAAGACTTATTAGTAATAGTAAAAACAGGTGAGTGGCTCATTCCTCTGTGTGGTCCCAAAAGTGGATGGATTCTTTCAGTTTGATAACTTTACCACACATTGCAACTCTCAAGAGGTTAAGAGACATGCATAGAATGGAGCTGTTTTTTAAATTAACGTAGTGTTTGCATATTCGTTGTGAAATAAGTGCTTCTTTTGCTTTAAGGCTGAGGGGACAGAGGCATCTTAGTTATTTTACTGTGTGATTAAAGCTTTTGTTTTGATTCGTTTACGAGAACCAGAAGTGAGGTGCTGATAGGCTACACTTCATTCATGTCAAAGTTAAGGAACATTAAACTAATAGGTTGTGAATTACGTCTTTCTTTGTTGTTGTTGTTTTTAACTAGCATCTTTGCCTTACTACAGAAATTACTACAGAAATAATTACTGTATATGGGAAATTCCACAACGATTTTGTCTAATATCCTCAGTACATTGTAGATCCTAATGAACTGTACTTTTTCCCAACTCTTCCATAACCCTAGATTCTAATCCCACATCTGCTTTTCAGAAAGAGAGAGAGATTTTGATCAGAATCTCAATTGGTTTACTTGTTGCAGGACTGAATTTTTTTTAATGATTTTGTTTTTGGTGTAGAGTGTTTTTATTATTAATATTATTATTATTTTTAATCTCCCCACAGTCTTGTCCTGGGATTGCCACGGACTGCAGATTACTACTGATTAGTATTGTTGCGAACAACGGATTCACCATAGTTTTGGAAGAAGTTATAAATATAAACAGGTGTGAAACACAAACATCCACCTGCCTCATGGCAAATATTGTACTCAGTCATGGAAGGATGTACAACAGATGAACCATTCAGCATGTGCAGAGCGTGTAATATGAGTTATTGGATTTTTCACGAGGAACACTCTGTACTACCTTTAATTTTTAGTTCTTCACGGAGCTTTAGAAATCTTTTGTAATTAACTGAATGCAAGTATTTAATCCCAGTGTTTATATAACCCTACGTCCTTTAGTTTCTGCCTTCAACCACTTTTTATTATGTCTGTTCCTTTCGGTATTGTGACTCGTGATCATGTTTTTCTCTTTACTTGATGCCAGTCTGCTGTCTTCTGTAATGTCCTGTTGTAGGCCAATTTTCCATGGTAGAATCCCCATTGGTCTGGTTCCCTAACACATCACTCTGGAGAATGTTTCTTTGTGGAAAGTTAGCAGTAGGAAAGCCTGTTCTTAAGTCTCCTTTTTGTTTATCTTTTCAGTTCTTTTGTTTTTCTGTAAAAGCACGTCCATACAATCATTGACACCCAAATTTGACTTGTGCATAGAACAATCAGCTTCCATTCAAAAGTATGGGCAGAACGTGTTTTTAACAACAGCACTACGTGGAAGATTACACATGGAAAATCCCACGTGACTGTACTGGTGCACTATCCAGAGATCATTGTCAAAACTGTGTCAAAATATTTTCTGTTTTACCTTTCTTCGATGCAGTCATTTCCCCTCTTGGCTAGGCATCTGGGCAGAGAACGACCTACGTGCTTTATAAAAACCAAACATGCCATAATGCAAATGACACGTGAATAGTACGTAAAATGTTTATATATTGCGCGGAACCAAGTTAGATAACTGGACTTTCTCCCTTTCTCAATAAGCTAAAAGGGAAAGCAGGAGCTTTGGAAAAGGTCTCTGGAAATTTAGAATTTATTGGTAGCATTTTTTAATTTCCTTTAAACCACTTTCTGAAGATTCTTTGATTCAGTAGGTCAGGCCCTTCAACATCAGAGGTCTAACTGCTTCAACTAAAGGTTTTAAAAGGATTAAAACATAAGTAAATAAAGGTTTTAAAAGGATTAAAACATAAATGAAATCATCATAAATGAAATAAATACACCAAAACAACCACCTTACTGATCCATAGGTCTTTTCTCTAGGGAAACAAAAACATTGGACACAGTGAGGCTGAAATTACTTTCTGGTTCAATTTAAACTAAAGATTTGAGTTGCATTCAAGCTAAGTTTAGGTTAAGTTTAGCAAAATAGCAATACAATTGAATGTGGGTGTGTATGTGGATGTGTGTGTAACCATGTAGCGACCTTTTCTGTTCTACTGAGTAAGAGGGTAATTAAAGTTCCAGATTTCAGTTGGAAATAGGATTAGAATTATAGCCAGATTACAATTAAGGAAATAATTAAGAATTTGTAATAATTTAGTTTACAGTCAGGAGCCAGAGAATGCATTTATGGAGTTGACTTATGTAGCGATCCTATGATCATTTCGATATTTCTTACATCCCTTAAATTTATTTTTGTTGTCATAATGAATGAAAAAATGTTGACTACAACACTAATGTCGATGGAAGTCAAAACTGTTCCTTGCTTTGCCATTTTAAAAATGGGAGCTGTTATGTATAATAATATTTACTAAGGTAAACTAAAAATGATATATGACCTTTTGCACAGGGCGATTGATATTTGTTAATTGAACCATGGTACCCCTTTAAGTAAGCCTTTGACACCAACAAGAGAGCCTGTCTCAGATTCCTGAGCCTCCCCTCATCCATGTCTGCCCCTAAGGCACATCATGAAATAAAAGAGAGAACTGATGGGAAGTTTCTTTGAAGTCAGTCAGAAAAGGCTCCCGAAACAGGCCATTGATGTGTGTTTTTTATATATATATATATATATATCCAGTGCTGAGCAACTGTACTTTAAAGTTAATTTTACTTGTGTTAGTTCTGTTTTGTTTTTGCAAGTTTTCTTGTTCATCACTAAGCCTGGCTTTTTACTTACATTTCTACACTTCTAATTGATGTAATTGGAAGTGATTTCCATAGCTTCTGGATTTTAAAAGAAGTTGTTTATTTTCAAGACCACAAAGGTTGCCGAGTGCCATAATATTTCAAAGAGCTCTTACTGACATTATAATATCCCATTTTTGTCGCTGTTCGTTTCTGCAATCTCAAAATAGTTGACCAAAGTTGTGTTTATTCCAGCCACAACAACAATTCACTGTGTAGATCAGGGGTCGCCAACCCCCGGTCCACGGACCAGTACCGGTCCATAGGTCATTAGAAAATCTAATTTTAAAATAATCAGTCATTCAGACTTTTATACTAACGGTATAGAGGCTAAAATATGTTTTATTTTGAAAATTTCATGATTATTATTTGATTGTTTATAAAAACTTTAATTTCTCAGGTTAAGAAACTCTGCTGCATGGACTTTACCAAATGCTTTTTAAGCTGCGGGCCACACAAAACAGCTTGGTGGGCCGCATTTGGCCCCCGGGCCTTGGGTTTGACACGTATGCTCTAAGGTATTCTTAACCTAGAAATCCTTGGTTATTTGATGCGATTACTCTTCATACAATTTTAGAGCACCATTATCTCATAAAGGGCTGAGAGATGGAATCTTTAGGAGGTAAAGTGTTGACACAAGAGGCTCTTTGTTAAATCTGTCCTGGAACTTGCCACCTGGTCAGTGTCATCTTTTCTTCTTTTCTCTTCTCTGTCATGGGCCAAAGCAGAGATCATTTTGTTTGTCAGAAAAACTGTATAATAAAAAATGAAATGCTCAGATAGTCTCCTATCCTCCATGTTGGCCCTGTGCACTTGCTAATTGAAAGAAGAAAAAAAAAAACAAGGTTTCCACCTGGACTTAATATTGTGACAATCGGACATTTTATTTCAATTATGAAATAAAAGAGAGACATGCATCGGGTTCATTTTTATAAAATTGATCAAACTACTTTTTATTATGAACTTGCTTATGAATTAAGAATGATGATGTCCATCAAATTGGAAAATTCACAAGTGTGTTCCTCCGAAGTTTGTTTTATAAAATTGATCAAACTACTTTTTTTATGAACTTGCTTGAATGAATTAAGAATGATGATGTCTGTTATATTGAAAAATTCACAAGCGTGTTCCTCCGAAGTCTGATTAGGAAATTAAAACGTTTTTAAAATAAAGAATAATGTTTTTTTTTTTTTAGAGGAATCTGTAGAAACAAACTACAGGGTGGAGTTTGTCCTCTGCTTCTGCTGTATGTTTTTAACCAAACATACAGTTGGTGTTTGGTCAAGTAAGAGTTGTTTACCGGCACACCTTGGAGAACATTAAATGTTTGAGTCCGACGTTTAACTGCAGGGTTTGCTTCCACTTCCTAAACCTCAGGAACCGCTAACTCCCTGTTGTCTGTGTATACTGGCTGGCCTCTGGTCATGTGATTTTTTTTTTTTTTTTTACATTCCTGTTAAGAACTAGTAGGATTTTGAGCAGCAGGCAAAGATGCCGTATGAAGAACAACTGTAATCACGCTGGTCTTGAGTTCTGCGTGACTAAGTGTATATTTCACCCATAGAGCTGTATGTGGCCACATGCTGAGACACAGAGGTCACACAGGCTTAACCCTGAGACACGTCAATTTGACAGGACAAAACCGCATCGTTGCGTCTGCGTTGTAGTCATACAAAAGTTTATCTTTTCAACATTGCTCCAGATGAGGAAGAAATTAACTTCAGAAGACACGGAAAGTTGTATTTGGAAAATTCCAGCAACATATTTCTCTTGGTGAATCACCAACTTCAGCGTTCAGAACCAACCTTTAATTTACAATTATTACGTTAAACAACGTCAAACGCATTATTATTGAATTAAAAAGGCTTCAATCTTTCTCTCTGGGCTCAGTTAAATATCAGTCTACACACACACACACACTCACCACTGCTCCCAGACTGAGTGTGTTTTAATGAGTCTATGTGAGAAAGGTCTATGTAGTTGAGCTCTGAAACAGCCCAAGGGTTTTGGAGGAGCTTTAGTGCATTCCGCCCCCTCTCTTTAAACTAGATACTTAGGCTGATAGACAGACAGTACTGCAGCAGACACTTTTCATAAACTGATCACACAGCCCCAAGGCCAGGTCTGGGGATTTCATCAAATCATATTTGACATAGTTGACTGACTTTTTTTTAAAGCAACCCAGAAGAAAAAAAAAAGTGGTTTGAGACTTGATGTTGTTTAGATATATTTTTTCCTACAATACCTTTCACGGTATCTGAGGGCTTTTTCAGTGTGTTGCATTCATTTAGAATGAATGGTTCATCAGACCAGGAATGTTGTAGATGAGGCCACGTTTTTTCATTTCAGCCCTCCAGAATTGTTCTGCCCAAATTTGTATCCTACGCAGAAATTGCAGCCATTTCTTAGATATCGTCTCACTTGAATGTCTTGAATACTTCAATTTGTCCAGTGAGAGCACAAACAGATGTGGTTTGTCCGTCCGTTGAGGTGGAGCTTCCCTAATCTGGGGAGGGTCAGTCTACAGACCTGCTGTTTGTGTGTGTGTTTTTTTTTTTTTTTTTAAAGTATTGTCTTTGATCACAATAAATTTGCCCCTGTTTTCCCACAGGTCTAGACGCAGAGCTTTTCTATGTGCGAGATGACACGGTGAATAATTACGCGCTCTCCTTCACCTTGCCCGTTCCGAGTGAGACCAACAGTCTACATTTCACATGGCATTCCAGGACAAGAGTAAGTCTAATCTTTTATCACAACATTTCTTCCACCTATTTGTGGAATTGCGATTCACTCTCCATCTCTGCCTGTTTATAGATTGACTACCGTCTTGGCTTTCACGTGGAGAACCCAATTGCCATGAACCAACCTAGAAGCAACATATCCACCCAGGGGGAACTTCCACACGTTCCTTCTGGTCAGTCCAAAAAAACCAAAAAAACAAAACACTACTTTTAGTTTGTGATGTTTATATTAATAATAGTTTTTGTTGTTTTTTTGTTTTTTTTTTCAGTTTTTAGAGTGGATCTCTTTTGCTCTGGCAAGATAGACGGAGAAGCAATTGTGACTGTACAGTTAAATCTGACCATCAGTGCCAACAACTATACAGTGCTCAACTTTAAGAGGAGGAAAATGTGCTATAAAAGTATGTATGGAATATAAAAGAACTGACTCAAGATAAAAACATGTGACAGAATGGCTCATCAAATGTGTCGTTTTGAAAAAAGTTAGTGAATAGGATGCATATTTGTGATGCTTTCAGATTTAAAAACTAACTGGTTGTTTTTATATTCCAATCATGTTTCAACCTCTGTATCTATTAATGTTTTGTTTTGTTTTTTTTGCTTTACTTTCTGTTTTACTTTTTCCCAACAGGAATAGATTCTGACCCAAAGATGCCCATTACACTCAACAATACCACACTTCAGCGGTCTGACTGTAAGTAATCTTTCGTCATCTCTTTATCACAGCTGGCCTCTCGGCCCGACAGGACAGAAGCTCGGTTGTTTAAAGATGATGTGCAGGGCAGTGCACATTAGACAGAATCTCCAATAACCATAGGATTTGAGAGACCCGAGGAAAGGTTGTGCTCGGCTATTGAAATGAACTCTCCGAGCCCCCCAACCAGCAGAGTGGGTGTTCTTTTTCACTGGGAAGTATTCTCTTTGTGAGCCCACTGCCCCAGTAACAAAGCACCATTAGTGGCTCATCTCCCTTCTGCTTGGGTAAGCTCAAGGAACCTGGGCCCCAAGGAGGCTTTTAGAGAAGTGATGAGAAAAGCTCTCAGACATGGAATTCTAAGCTCAGCCTCCATTTTAGGCTCCCATTAACCCAATTCGCAGCACTCGTTGCACTTATACAGTTAATCTTATACCGTTGGTTCAACACAAGTTCAACCGGTGCTGCTTTAGTACTGGCAAAAACATGAAAAGTGTTGCATTGGTTTCTGAATGGATAGAGCAAATAGAGTGATGACCTGTTGATCCTTGTGTGATTATTCATGTGACTCATTCCACAGTAGACGGTGTGACCAGTCCAACCAGCTCCACTCAGGTGTTTTATATAAGCGTCAGTGTGTGCTGCATTGTCATCTTCCTGGTTGCCATCATCCTGGCTATCCTCCACCTACACAGCATGAAAAGAGTGGAGATGGAAGACAGGTTTGTCTCTTTGTCTTTCGGCTGTTTTAAAAATGTTGTGTTTATGACTATGCATGTAGTGGCTCCCCCTAGATTAACTTGCATGTATTACAAATAACGAGAATGGCGCTTTCCTGCCTCACTTTAAAGGACTTCCAAGCTAACAACATGTTAGCTTCACAAAATGATCTGCTGCAAAATGGCCAGTTGGTGATGAAAAGATTCAGAATTTTGCTGGTCCATCAGTGACTCATTACATAATTTTGGCAAACCATCCTAAAGGAAGTAAAAATTAAAGCAGAAATACTGGTTTCTAAACACCGAAAACGTAAACATATAAAATATTTTTTATTACACTGTTTGTCCAAACAGTGATGCGGAAGAGGACTTCAAGATTTCCTCATACTGGACCAAGTGTCCTGCTGAGAAGAGTTGTTTGGGTTGTACAATTGAACAGAACAGCTTAGCTGTTAATTATCCAGTATTTGCTGTCACTAAGGAGTGGTTAGGTAGGTTTGTCAGTTGAAACCATTACATGAATTTCAGCGTAACTTTGATAGAGATACAACGTGTACTGCATTTTGTAGCAACAGAAAAGTTGAAACTTGCACTTTTTGTTTCCCATACAGTACTTTTATACATTAACACTTCACTCCAGATGGCTCAAGGCAGCCACCCAGATTATCAGATAATAATGCGAAATTAGATCAGTGCGTCCTTTGGAGGGTTAAACCACAGAGATTAGTGTGCAATTAAGTTGACATAGTAATGTAATGTGATAATTACACACCAGCAACAACCTTAGTTGCTGTGCTTTTACTGTGGCAGGACTTGTTTGGTTGCATTAGATCATACTATGTTTATTAGGTGGTTGACATCGCTTTGATGATTTGTTCTAAGACTTCAGACAGAGTACAGCAAGCTCTCTGGTTTGCCTGTCACCTCAGAGTGGGAAATTCACTGCATTCTTTAGAGAGTGGTTATTTAGCCAACAGAAAATAGCATCGCTTGATCCTTATATTAAATAAAAACAATGAACAATTGAATCAACCCTTAATATACATGAATATACCAAAGAAATATAGCCATGTTTCCCAGCCTTTTTCTTTTAACCACAACACATATTTTACATTTACATTAGAAACATCCCATAGTGCAGAACCAAATAAGAATGTCCCAAAAATGATTAATGAAATATAATGTGTATGAATAATGTAATGATATAATGTAATGAATCTTTTCTTTTAAATTCATTCACACTTTACTTACCCAGTGTGATTCCTGGGCCTGTTTAGTTGAACACCAGGCTGATATACTCACAGAAAATGGAAACAACAACTTCTTAAACAGCTCTGCCTTTCGTTTTTAGTTTCACAAGCCAGTTGCTGCTACCACATTGGAGAGTGTTAAAAATAATTGCAGTTAATATATAAATATATACAGGCTGAGAAGAGTTGTTTGGGTTGTACAGTTGAACAGAACAGCTTAGCTGTTAATTATCCAGTATTTGCTGTCACTAAGGAGTGGTTAGGTAGGTTTGTCAGTTGAAACCATTACATGAATTTCAGCGTAACTTTGATAGAGATACAACGTGTACTGCATTTTGTAGCAACAGAAAAGTTGAAACTTGCACTTTTTGTTTCCCATACAGTACTTTTATACATTAACACTTCACTCCAGATGGCTCAAGGCAGCCACCCAGATTATCAGATAATAATGCGAAATTAGATCAGTGCGTCCTTTGGAGGGTTAAACCACAGAGATTAGTGTGCAATTAAGTTGACATAGTAATGTAATGTGATAATTACACACCAGCAACAACCTTAGTTGCTGTGCTTTTACTGTGGCAGGACTTGTTTGGTTGCATTAGATCATACTATGTTTATTAGGTGGTTGACATCGCTTTGATGATTTGTTCTAAGACTTCAGACAGAGTACAGCAAGCTCTCTGGTTTGCCTGTCACCTCAGAGTGGGAAATTCACTGCATTCTTTAGAGAGTGGTTATTTAGCCAACAGAAAATAGCATCGCTTGATCCTTATATTAAATAAAAACAATGAACAATTGAATCAACCCTTAATATACATGAATATACCAAAGAAATATAGCCATGTTTCCCAGCCTTTTTCTTTTAACCACAACACATATTTTACATTTACATTAGAAACATCCCATAGTGCAGAACCAAATAAGAATGTCCCAAAAATGATTAATGAAATATAATGTGTATGAATAATGTAATGATATAATGTAATGAATCTTTTCTTTTAAATTCATTCACACTTTACTTACCCAGTGTGATTCCTGGGCCTGTTTAGTTGAACACCAGGCTGATATACTCACAGAAAATGGAAACAACAACTTCTTAAACAGCTCTGCCTTTCGTTTTTAGTTTCACAAGCCAGTTGCTGCTACCACATTGGAGAGTGTTAAAAATAATTGCAGTTAATATATATATATATATATGTATATATGTGTATGTATATATGTATGTATATATCTATATATGTATGTATATATATATGTATGTATTTATATGTAGCTATATATGTATATATGGAATCAGTTTTAAGTAGTCTTTGATTTCTTATATATAAATAAATACATATATTATGTATCTATATATATTATGTTTCTGTTATTTATTTACTATGTATTTGTTTGTTTTTCAGTGTGAGTGACACGGGGAGCTCTCAGGGTCTCTCTCAGCCGTCCACGCAGACCACGCAGTACCTGAGGGCTGACACCCCAAACAATGCAGCTCCTGTCACGAGTAAGAACTTTCACTTTCTTTGTCTGTGACACTAATAATTGTAGCAGGCTATTAATAACCCGGCGTGGCAGACCTTTGGGCACAGTGTGCATTAGGTTACCGGCGGACTACTTTGATGACATAGACTCATAGAATATGTGAAAAGTCTAGAAGAATCAAAGATGGTGTAACGTGAATAAGGCTAATTTGACCAGATTTTGGACCTGAAACCGTTCCCCGGAGGTACTGGTTGTTTTTGCTCACATTCCTTCCACTACATCTTTTATCTCAGTTGCCGTACTGAAAATAAATATTGAGCATCACTGCAGATGTGTTTGAAGTTTTGCAGTTCTGTTTTTAGCTGTTGTGCAGTGAATACTGGTGTCACTGACAGGTCACGTCCTGTTTATGTTTTTTGCTTATGCTTTTGTTGCATAGATTTTAAAGTGTAAAAGAAATGGTACTTAAAAAAAATATACATTTAAAATGTGGTTATGTTTTTTTTACATTGCAATTTAATTAATCCTTGTAATGAAGAGGTTGAGCACAACATTGGATTACAGCTTATAAGCTTATATAATTATAGCCAGTGTGATAGTGACACTGCAGACTATGAACCTCTGTCGCAATAGGGTCTGTTTGTATAAGGTAGCAGTGTTTTCCTTCACTCAGCTGCATATTTTTGGCTGCCATTCACTGTGTAATTACAAGATATGTTATCCTGCAGTTTAATGTGGATTTGGCCGTTTAATCACAGTGCAAGGGACAGCCCAGCACAGTACAAGGAAAACATTATATTCAAGGTTCCCATCATCAAAGCATCACCATGTTTACCAAACCAGCTATCATTTTAATAAGATGAGTCATTTTAGCAGTTGTCAAACAGAGCTAGCCATTTAGTTGCACCTGGCTGACCTGAAACAGCTGCCTGTACCAACAATGATGTGCCAGAATAATAGTAATGCTCAGTGTTATTGAACTTTTTGGACCGTCCTTGAGCTTGGAACAATCCATAAATTTCATTGCATTGTAAACATAATAAACAAAATATGAGAAATATATGATTTTACCATTTACATAATATTTCATTTGCACTTGTTGACATGTCCTTTGTAGAACTCGAGTTCATATCTTACCTAATGTAACACTGCCCACGTGTGGTGAAAAGGTAGAAATGCAGATCCAGAGTACTGTATGTGGTAATGGATAAACTTTTTCAGAATAAAATATTCATAAAACAGTAGACCCAGGTGTATTATAGAAATAGTGGATAATAACATATTTACTACTATAATAAACCTAACTCCTCTCATAATAATAATAAATATCAATATAATAATATGGCCCTGTAATGGACAGGTGAATTGTCCAGGATGTGGCCCTCATTCTCCTGGAATGGGGTGGGCTGCAGCCCTTTTTGAATATTTCTCTTGATGATATATGTTTTCTAAAAAAACAAAATAATTTTTTGTTTACTCCAAACAAATGCAATTCAGATTTTTGTAATGCCTTTCCCAGTGCGTATGCTTGATCGTGTATGTATTTGTATTGTAACCCTCTCCCTCAATATGTTCATCAACACAATGCATCATCACTGATAAAGCCCATGGGTAAAGCCTACTTTATTAAAACATAGCTGTTGAAATTTAAACTAATAAAATTCTACTTAATTTATTGCTGGTCTTAATGTTACATCTGAGAGACATCAAAAAAGTCTTGAAGTCTAAAATTTCTCTTGCAGTAAGTCTGCAGGACTCCTGTACCACAGTTAAAATATCACTGCTTTCTCTATGGTGGTCGAAAGATTAACTTGAATTCCAGGGTGTAGGCCCTACATACTGAAGAACCCTAATGGACACAGGTCACTAAACAGGCTTACATACTGAAGAACCCTAAAGGACACAGGTCACTAAACAGGCTCAGAAAACAGTGCTTAAAACCTCAGAACCTTTGTGTGTTCCTCTCAAATGCCAGGTTCATCCCACACGAAGTAAAGGATAATAGAACTATTAACTAGTAGCAACAAGTCAACACAAGCTGCATTAGGCTAACTAGCCGCAAGCTACATGTCCATGTCCAAATTACATGCTGCTCTCGAAGGCGTGTCATACATCATCCCTGACTTGTCATTCGTGCACTCCTTTACCTACAAAGAGGGTTTTGTAGCAGGAATCACCACAGCTGTTTACGCCCTCCGATGCTAACACTAGCACAGCTGCATAACAGTGCTAACAGACAACAATGTGCATACGTGAATCACCCTTGCTGTTCCTCCTGTGTCTCATCTGTAACACAGAATGTCTTTTGTCCTCTTGCTCTGGCTTCAGCACATATCTTTTTCCTTTACAGTACTTTCCATATTCTTATAAAATTCCCAGTTCTGAAGCACCTCCACAACATATGCTCTAACTTCAGCATTTCGCCGTGGGAAAAGGTGTTTTTAGGGCATTTTAACTTCCCCATATTTCTGTTAAAAAAAGGCGACATCTCTACGCTGTAAGATTTCTAAATTTGTCTCACCCTGACCAGATGATAGACTTTTCTTCTTGATGCATCAATTCTAGGGTATATGAAATTGTTAATAAAATATATTTATTCATAGGTTACAATAGTATCTTGTCCTCTGGCCACCTCTTCACAGAAAGATATCTTGCTTTATGGAAGGGTTAAATGCAAAATGTTTTGTGAAAAATGTCATTTTTGCATGCAGGGTAAAGTAAGATCACAAATAGTATGTAAAAATGTGTTACATTTCCAATAGTTTAAAGTGCTTCCACAATTCCTAGGATGCCTGCTATTGGTTCTCATACTGCAGCTGTTTCGTATGACATTTATCGTTCATAAATTACCAGCTACTTTGCATAATTTTATTTAAAAGTCGAGTAAGAAAATTAGGGACAATTGGCGCCCTCTTGTGGAAGTATCTCGCATGTCATCCTTGTCTATTCAGGGGTTTAATATATTTTTTTTTTACAGTATGTTGTATTATTGACTTGTATTGATTTGAATATTTACAACGCCTTTCATTTAAACTCCAGATTTGGCATGCTCACCTAGTTTATTGGGTCGTGTTCTTAGGGAAAGTCTACAGCTACACTCGCTACACAATATGTACAGTACATGTACATAGCTTAGTCGACCTGTCTTTTAAAACACCACTGACTGTCTTCCACCCTGTGCTTTCTGCTTCTCTGCTCCTTCCGTCATCAGACAATCACCCTGGTTCTGCACCCATCCTCCAGCTTGCTGCCTCCTCCTTCCAAAATACCCCTCATGAAACGAAAAGTAAGTTTCACTCCAGCACAACCGTCCACCCATGTTTTCCTTCTGTATCACTTGTGTTTTGTGACGCATGCTTGAAAACTGTAAACACGTAAACAAGGAGATGGCTAGCTTACTAGTTTACACATTTTTAAAAAAAATTCAAAGTACATGGGTCATTGCTGAAAACTAAAACTGCTTTTACTTTGCTCTGTAGGGGGCAGCATTGTCCTGCGTAATAATGAATGTAACTGTTTCATAAAGGGTGTGTGAGGATGAAAAGTTATTATTATAGTATTTTAAAATAAAACCAAGAAAATTCATTTAAAATAATTAATTAATTAAAAACATAATTTTGTGCTTCATCTGATCTTAGTGAAAGAATGCATATAATTTATATTTGATATAGTTCCACCTAACATTAAACCAAGGGGGTGAAATGCTGGGCTCTCAGGTAAATGGTTAATTAATGACACATTGGTCCTGGTTTACTGGTTTATACCTTGTAGTATTTTGCTGTGATTACACGTTTATATATACAGTATGTGTGATACCAGAAAGATTTTATTTTCAGTTGAACTCGCTCTTGTGTGTCAGTTTTTAACTGACTATGTTGTCCATCCGTTCTTAATTTCTTTTTTCATCTGTGATGATGCTAAAATTGTTAAAAAACTTTTAAAACGTTTTCACTCCAGCAGGGTAATGTTATGGATTTACACTGTGCTTAAAGTGTTAACGTCACACTTGTTTTTTCCCCCCTCTCTGAAGGCTATCCTTCTCTGCGCATAGAGAAGAACGACCTGAGGAGTGTAACGCTCATGGAGGCCAAAGCTAAGGTGAAAGACATCGCCATCTCAAGGGAGAGAGTTACCCTCATGGATGTCTTACAAGAAGGTATTGCTTTGCTTTTGTCATAAAAAAACAAAGAAACTTCAATTAAGAATGTGTTAAAAAAAAAAAACACAAGTCATCATCTACTGTATGTTGGAACGTGGTTTTGTAAATATCAAATTGGCTTTTTTAGGGCCAATAAAAGCAGTTCTTACAAGTGGTTAAATTCATAATAATTAGTATGGTTGGTTCTTCCTCTTGAATTATTCACATTATTTTGATTTTATTATTTATATTTTGTTCACAGAATAAAATAATGAAGAATGTGAAAATGGAGTTTACTAATGATGTGGATTGAACCAAAGTCCCGTCTTCATTTCACACAAATAACACAGACAAGTTGTACATTAAAAAGCCTACCATTAGCTCAGGTTTGAATTCTTTCCCTTTTTTTTTTCTCATTTTTTTTTTAGAAAAGCCATTAGTGAGCTACACTGCACCATCTGAATTATGTAGGTTTATTTAAACAGAATATTGGATTGATTATTATTTTTCCTCCTACTGTGCTGTCTCAGCTCGGTCGCTGTGTGACAGGCTCCTCCCAGCCAAGGTCTAATGTAAAACATGCTCTCAGAATTACCTCCATAGAAATTCAATATTTCTTTGCACATAAAGCATGTGCAAAGAAAGTGTATTGGTTTTATCCTCACAAGTAAAAGTGGAGGAATTCTCTGTTTCCACTTAGGTCCAAAATTAAATTTTTAGGAGTGTTGTAAATATTTGGCTGTGGTTTTAATTAGATAGAAGTACATGGGTGTGCATACACTCTAGATGCCTTTAAAACCCGCTCCGCTGACGAGGAGTTTGGCCGCAATAATGAGGCGGTAAATGCTGTCTGTTCAGAAAAATGGGACGATAAAATCAAGATTCTCCGCGATATTTGTTGATTCTGACGTTGTCTCAGTGACGCCTGACGGTGTACATAAATAATCTGTATCTATACTTTAAAGAGCCAAAAACATAATATTGATTGACAGATGTCTGCTATCATCTGCTAGTAAACACACACACACAGCCTGTGTGTTTGTGTGTGTGTTAAAATGATGTCATAGTTACCTCAGGATAAATAGAATGCCATAAGTTTTTAAAAGCCGCTCAAACATTTTACTAGGTTACCTTCACAAGTTATGTTCTCGGTCCAGCTGTGATCACAGCAAACACAGATGCTCTGACTAAAGGGGGGGGAAAAAAACAAAAAAAAAAACGTCTTTCCAATGTTAACAGAGTGAACAGTTTCATGTCTGGAGCATCTCCTCGGCTTTTCAATTCATTCACAAATATCTCGATAACTTGGTGATATATAGCCACTCATCTCGTGCTGACATTTATGGTTCCCGCAGGAAGAATTGACCTGCTCGGTATCCGCATTTTAACAATGTTACTGTCAGGATGTTGGCAGGCAGCTAGCAGCGTGATGTTTGCTCGTATGTTTAATCACAACTTCTGCATTGTGTGACTGTCAGCTTTTTGGTAGCGGTTGTTCAGGTACTTCAGGGACCTTCTTGTCGTATCAGAAAAACAGTTTTTCTTGTGACTTTTAAAAGGAGGCTTAGACGGCTTCTTTAAAATGCCAAATCCAAGTTATAACTGGTGTGTGCGTTTACTGAAGATGGAGGCTGGCTCAGTCTCCTAATGTCTCGGTAGTGACTTGTATAGTAGTAAATAAACTATTCCCGAAGGAACCACATCGCTAAGTCGCTTTGGATAAATCTATGAAATGTAAATGGAATGAATGATGTACTATGATAAATTGAGCCACATCGCTAAGTCGCTTTGGATAAATCCATGAAATGTAAATGGAATGAATGATGTGCTATGATAAATTGAGCTATTGAACTATTGGATTCTTTCCTTTCATTTTTTCTTCTGACTTCTTTCTGGTCTCCCAAACCGAGCGGCATAGGAGACTAATGTATCAACAAGTTTACGGTAAAATAAATATTAACACACAAAGGTATAGCTTACCATATACAAAGCTGTGTGGTCTCCGCCGGTCCACAGAGGCTCAGCAGAGAAGCAGGTAGACATTTAAACATCTGTCCTGTTGTTATGGTTTTCCGGTCATCCCTTGAAACATGAGGCTTCAGCCTTGGTCTTAAATGGTATTACAGGGGAGAGGTGGATAAACATACTCACTTATGTATATTTCATGTACTGTGTACTTTGGGTGGGACGAAGGGTCCTCGACAAATTCCAATAATTGGCGTCTTATTTGGCTTCTGGTCAGCAACTCCAAACCTAAAGATCCCTACTTATATCAACAAAGCATTAATAGCTACATCTTT